GCCAATCTCGCTCACGGACAAGACCATGTACATTGCCCGACTGCACCAGTCGGTCCTCGACGCAACGCCCGACGAAGCGTCGGCGGAAGCGCTCAATAAGCCTCGACGCCGCCGCACCGTTCCGATCGCTGCCAAGCTCGTGGTTCTAGTCTCAATCGACGTCGAAGAGCGCAGCGCCGACGGCATCTACGAACCCGTGACGGTCAAAGAAGACGGGACGCTGCGGCTCAAGCAAGGCCAGGCGCGTCGCATCGTCGTCCGGGCCGTGCAAGCCGACCACCAGCACTTTTGCCTCCTTGGCATCCCCCACGTTCGCATCTGCAGCGAGCGCACGCGGACCAAAGCGCCGCGCACAGAGTACGCTGCGGCGTCTGCTCTCGGCTCGGCCACGCTCGGCGGCTTCTTTCACAAATACGGGGCCGAGGTCTTGCCATCCTGTCGGCGCAAGTCTGACGATTGCCATGTAGGATGCGAGCATGTCTCCTGGCGCCATGGACGACGCCAGCCAATGGCAAGCACTCGACTTTCGCAGCCCGTCGCAGATTGATCCCGAGGCACGCACTGTGTCGTGTGTCATGAAGTGGGACGCGAACGTCGCCGAGCGTCACTGCCACCGTGGCGAGCGGCGTATCTTCCGCGTCGCCGTCGCGCTCGAGACGCAGATCTCGGAGGCGCCGGTGATTGTCGCCAAGAGCGTCACGACCAAAGTCTGTGCATCGGCGACGTCACTCAAGCAGCTCCAGCGTCAGGTGGTGCAAAGAATATGCCCCGGAGGCTCTCATGCTTTAATAGATGCAGACGGCGTGGTGGGCCCGCGAAAGCTTTAGCCGATCGCACCGCCTCGGCAAGTGGTTTGCCATTGAAGTTGTCAAGCCTGTCGCATCCCCGCGCGACGACGCGCCGGCCGCCAAAGCGCTTCTCGCCGAGCGCCTCTTGGACCATTATGGCAAAGGTACTACTCGACAGCAGATGCCATCGTTGTCACGATGCAACACTCGCGGTGGGTAGGCATGCAAAAGCTTGATGTCGCATTCGATCTGGAGCGGTTCCGCCAGCAGTTTCTCGCCGAGACTGAGTCCTTGACCATGTCCGAGGTCGACGAAAAGCCAGCCCACGTGTGTGCGACCAAGTCCACATCGACCCATGTGGTTCAACAGATTCACGGCGAGCTCTTTGTCGAGCGCCGCAACACGCCTGGTATCCTCGTGCACTTGACATCGGGCACGCTCGTCGACACGACTGAGGCGACGGCGTACAGCCCCAACGTTGCGCACGTGGTGACGCAGACGTAAAGCATTTGTATGGTGCATCCATAATACTAGTATACTTTTAAAGACATCTTCGGTAGCTCCGCCGTATCGAGCTCCACTTAATCTTTATGGACTATGTACGAGCTTGCCCAACCCGATAAACGTTGCGAAATATGTGCTCGGTCGGGGGAATGCAACGACCAGATACATGCATGGACTGTGTCGGGCGCACAATCAAACCAGGCTCCATCACTGGTTTTAACGATACCACAGGGAAGCGCACGGCTCCCATGACGGCGGTCAAGGAACTGCACGCTCCATTTCTAGTCAAATATAGCATCGCGTTGCCACAGGCAATATTTATCACCTTATTGGTTTTTACGCCCAGAAACTTGGTTCTTACGCCCGAAAATCGTTTTCACCTTCAGCGATTGATATCCACTACACTTGTCCGACGGTTGGCCTTATGGTTATGCCTTGGGCCAACTCAATTGACCACTTTTAAATTGCGCGCTGCTATCAAGATGCTTGTACATGTAGCATGGTTTGTCCCACGTTGGGGTAAACCTGAATTTTGGGATTTCCAATACAGAGCCCACAGCGTAAAGTAAATCCCAGTTGTTTGTCCCACGGGCCGATGACCCACCTCATTTTGCTGAAGCATCCGATATGACGACGACCAACAGTGAGGCGCGGACGGCCTTTGTCACCGGCGCGACGGGCTTCCTTGGGCGGCACCTCGTCGAGTCGCTCCAGCGCAATGGCTGGCGCATCGTTGCCATGCACCGACCAGGCTCCAACGTCAAAGTGCTTTTGGATCTCGGCGTTCAGTGCGTGGTCGCCGACCTCCAAGACCCCGCATCGATCGCAGCGATATTGCCGAACGAGGTCGATGCCGTCTTCCACGTCGCTGCCAACACGACGTTGTGGCGCGCCAGGCATGCTGAGCAGTGGCGCGATAACGTCCTTGGTACCAAGGCCATGTGCGAAGCTGCCTTGCAGCAGCATGCCAAGCGCTTCGTCTTTGTAAGCTCCGTCGC